AATTTTTATTATTTTATTAAAAGATTTTATCTACAGTATATGATTATTATTATGTCAAAGTGTTCAGTTGATTTATTGAGATATACGGTAAAAAAATCTTTCAACCCGACATTAATTAATCCTTTGTAATAGGGAAGAAATATGAAACACCGGATGCTGGAGTACCAATTATAATATATCATCAATATGGCAATACCTGACAGTGAAAAAAACTGTCAATGTAATTTATTGACAGCTGTCAACAAACGTCAGAAAGTTGAAACAAGTTCGCTTTTTTGTTGTTTGTTAACTTTTGTCCTACATTTCAGATATCGGAAATACTTGAATGTATACATATGAACATATTAACACTCAAAGAGAAAAACAAGAAAATCATTGATGCAAAGCATCAAAGGGCGACGCCAAAAGAATTTGATCCAGATTTGCACCTAAATACTTAACAAAAGATGTATACTTTATAGCAGTACCATTACATGTGACCTGGAGGCTAGGGCCAGTTTAAGTTGAAACTTAAACCAAAAAAGAATAGACTCTGTCTTGCCAAGATGCAAAGACAATTTATAGTCAATTAAGCAATCTTATAAGACTCATGCTATAAGAAAGAATTTCTTCAGATTTATTTTATGAGACACAAGGATTCCTGAGTCATCAGCATATAATCACAGGCACGAGTATCGGACCTGGGAAGAAAAAATATGACCAGATGACCAGATTGATAAAAAAAAACTGTGTTTATAAAAACCAAAAAAAAAAAGTAAATAATGATCCCCTTTAAAAATATACTATCAACTTGAAGTATATTTTTAAAGGGGGTCATTATTTACATTTTATTTTGGTTGTTGACACTTTTAAGATGAACACAGGTTTTTTTATCAATCTGGCCATATTTTTTTTTCCAAGGTCTCACCGTCTGATACTCATGCCTGTGCATTATAATAAAAGCTTTTGCTTAGGGTTGAAGACATGTAATTGACATATATTAGACATAAAAGAGGACCTAAAATGAACATCAGGGGGACAGCATAGGTACTCAGAGCAGTAGTTGAATGAGTACCAGCCACATCAACCAGCTACTATCAGAGATAAGACTTAAACCATGTAAGAATGTCATTATATATGGCAGATGCTTGAAGTTTCATGAAGAAGAAGAAAAACAACTTCTTCATGTGCAGTATAGTGTGTTCAACTGTATCAAATGCCCTTTGTAGATCTAAAAGTATCATGCAATACTGCCTTTGTCCATTTCAAATAATGCAATCTGTTAAATGAATCAAACATGTGTCAATTAAAAAACCACTTCTAAACCCTGACTGAAACTGCCTGACCATGACTCGAACCCATGACTTTCAGAAGACCAACTGAGCTATCCGGCCTGCTACACATTTTCTCTTTAATAATGAAACAGTTCTAAACCACAACATATTTCCCCACTATATCGATTTGTGTTCGTGAATTTCTTATGTTACAGAGCATAGGAAATTGAACTCATGCTTATATGCAGTCACAGGATGAGAAAAACTTTGAGCTTGACCAGAACTCAAACCTGTGACCAACATAAGAAATTTTATGAAGGCTGATTTGTATTTTGCATCAAGGGCACCGGGCAAAAACATGAAAATGCAACAAACAAACCACTTTGTGGTAGATTGTATTTTCATGTTTTCATCTGGCACCCAGTTACTTTTTGTACTATGTTGGTTTTAATGTGGCACAAATCACCCACTATAAATTTAGTGCACAAATCACCCACTATAAATTAAGTGCACAAATTTATTCAAGGGCAAGTAACAATCTACTCTATGTACAGTCTGTTGTCGGGTTGACTCAGGAGACCTGGAGGTTGAGACCGGTGTCCCTTCATTACAAATAGATAAGACAGAAGCTGTCCTTTTCAAACTATGCACATGTTAGAAAAAAAATAGAATAACTATTCAGAATATGATTTTTTGAGACTTTATTAATTATATTGCTTGATCCAAGTTTAAGGACATTTTCAATCAATACATGTTTTATCATTTATAACTTTAAATGAAAGTCTCATCCCTTTAATAATAATGACATAACTGTATCTCTTTAAATGCAGAAAAATGATAAGTCTCAACATATCAATATACTACTGTCTAAGATATACATGTATGCACATAACATTAATAATTCCCAGTTTATATTAAATAAATATGAAATCCTAACATTAACATTAACATGCTTTTGATGACCTTACAACTGGTGAATTATATACAACAAAAATAGTATTATAAGTAATACCTAAGATAGACAGAAAAGAACAAATAATTTAGTAAACATGAGTTACTTCCCCTTACAATAAAGAAAACCTGAAACCCAAAAGAACACCCTAAACAGCAAAATTATGAAATGCTGCAGGTTTAGTTTTATCAAGCCATGCAAATTAATGGTAAAGTATTCATAAAAAAATAGATGGCCATGTGTCAGCAGTAATTGCAGAAAATCGGATAGCTTTCAACATCCGGATACTGGTACACTTTGTAAAAACAACCATTCTGCGCAACAGATAAATGTAATAAGGATAAAATCAATAGGATAATCGTTTACAACAGTTCCATTACCTATCCTTATACTCAATTGCAGGTGAACTTTCTTCTTGTAGGAAAATTTTGAAAATGTATAAATGAATGAATGAACCGATACGGCCTCAATCTAGACCACAACGATATTCGAAATCCGGGTTTTAGTATTGTCATTAAAACTAAAGGACAAGCTGTTAAACTTAACCTGCAATTTCGTGAAAATAATATCACAATGCACACGCTTTTTACATAAAGTTATTAAATACAAATATAACAACACATTTGTTTACTTGATTTTTACGAATCAAAATAAAACTAATTAACACAACATGAAATTAACTGCTAATAATAACAGCTCCTTCCATAGGCAAAAATAAAAAGCGTTCCATAATAGACGACGCCGCTCACCGGCGTCGCCAACAAATATAGTCGCTGGTTACCACCTGCGACTAATTAGCTACTGAGTATCAATTGTCCAACTCATAGGTGTTCGGCGCGTTGATTGGTCACTACCCCCGCCCCCCCCCCCCCCCCCTCCTACCTCTCAAAACCATGTAAAATACAGTATTTTTCATTTGAAACATGTTTTGATATTTGGCTAGGGAGATAAATCTGAAAATATTGCTTCAAGAGTTATGAACCTTGTCACATAAGATATGGTTGTTGATAAGGAATGTGTATTTAAAGTTTGAGGTAAATACATTTAAAACTAAAGAAGTTATAGTAAAAAATAACTTTTTTGTAAGTAAAAAAATCTAAGTTAATGGGGAGATAATTCTTGCAATATTGGTGCTAGAGTTATAAACCTTGTCACATGAGATGTGATGAATGATAAGGAACAAATATTTGAAGTATGAAGTTGATCTTTTGATTAAGAAATAAAAAGTAACAGTAAAAAATAATATTTTTAAGGAAAATTCCAAGTTCAAGGGGAGATAAATCAAAAAATATTGGTGGAGTTATGAACCTTTCTGCATAAGATGTGGTTGATGATAAGGAACATATATTCAAAATTTGAGGTTGATACCTTAAGAAATGAAAAAGTTGTAGTAAAAATAATGTTTTTTAAGGCAAATTCTAAGTTCAAGGGGAGATAACTCTGAAATATTGGTGCTAGAGTTATGAAACTTGTCACATAAGATGTGGTTGATGATAAGGAACATATTTTTGAAGTTGATACCTTAAGAAATGAAAGTTAAAGTGAAAAATATTTTACTGCACCAAAACTTTAAACTTAGACGCTGGGGCGAGTAGGACAGCTCTCCATATATACGAGTTAAAAAGGTGAGGTAGCCCTGACAAGGGCTATTGGTGCCAAGCAAAGGGCCTGGCTTTCACTGCATATTACTAAAAAAAAAAAAATAAATAAAAAATAAACGTCAATTTTTTCTGAAGAAGACTAAACGTCGAAAGCTTAAGAAAAGCGTTTGTTTTTATTGAACTGATTATATACTGCATATTACTGACTCACGTACTCTAGAACCCCGTCTCTTCATTCTTATGGTAAACATTTGTGAACAAAATTGGATGCAGTCCGACCAGTAATGTGTTGGGGGAAAAGATTTAAAAAAATGAGTATATTTCATTACTAGATTAAGCAATAATTCAAATTATATTTACAAATTATTTCATTATATGTTTAAATTTTCTTTACTTCCTTTAGAAGATTTAAGAAGGGATTATACCAGCCATTAGTTTATGATGCATTAACTAATAAAACAGAGTTTTGATCACTTTGTTTCCAGATTTTCATTGGGAGAGCGTGCATGTATATTGTTACCAGCCTTCGATAGTGACCTATATAAGTGGTAGTTTCAACCCATTCCCAAGAATGACTAGTCTGTCTAGACTAGGATTAACCTACCGGTATAACTCAGCCGAATGACTGGACTAGGATTAACCTACCGGTATAACTCAGCCGAATGACTGGACTAGGATTAACCTACCGGTATAACTCAGCCGAATAACTGGACTAGGATTAACCTACCGGTATAACTCAGCCGAATGACTGGACTAGGATTAACCTACCGGTATAACTCAGCCGAATGACTGGACTAGGATTAACCTACCGGTATAACTCAGCCGAATAACTGGACTAGGATTAACCTACCGGTATAACTCAACCGAATGACTTTACTCTGTCTGGACTAGGCCAACCTTAGGTGGCGACATATCATTTCATGGAGATCCTGAAGTCAATAAGAGGAAGTCAGTGCCTAGCATCTTGGTAACATGGTGTGCGCCCAGTCAGATTTGACCAAACATGCAGATCGTTGGTTTGGGGGGACCAGACTTCAAATGCATAAAAAGGGTCTTATATGCCATACCAAATGCAGGAATAAACTTAATCTGTGACGCGAACACATGGGCAAGAACAATAGCTTTCATTATTCTTTTAATAGTCGGGCTAAAAACACACACAAATGTATTTAAAACAAAAAGAAAACAAGAATGTTCATGAACATGGTTTATTGTTAGCATATGAAGATAATTCTATACCGAGGACAAAAAAATACCAACAATGAAAAGCTATTCAGCATGCTGTATACAGATACATATGAATAAAAATCTGTTGTAGTTCTAGTTAGTCACCTTTCAAAATAAATCTAACTTTAGGCCTACATTTTTAGACAAAACGCATTCACCTGAAACGTGCCTTTACAAAAACATCAAAATATTGTGGTTTGATATTTTCAAAATAATTAACACCATCATCATTATAAATTTTCAGCATTACAAGTTTAAATCTCGAATGTTTTGATAATCATTTATATATTTTCTGTTTAACTTCACCATTTTGTTGTAAATAACAGCTATACATATAAAGGGAGAGTACCGGTAATGAAATAGCTGACTGTTATACAGTAATTGATTATTAATAAACAAATTAACAACACTAATAACTGCTGAATATAATCTTGAACAATTGCTAGCGATGAGAGATCAGAAATGACTTATTTTATGAAAATAGCTAACACAAATACAAAATTGAATGATCTGAAAATGTGAACAAAATAAATAAATGAATGCCAATTATGTGGCAGCCTTTAAACATGCTGCTGAAAGCATGATGATCAAAGGCCTAAAAACAGACTCCACAATTTCTAAATGATATTAGTAGAAATCATATATACAGAAGTAATTTTTCATGCAAAACTGACAATATTTAAATACTAAAATAGTTTATTTCCTTCCCTTGAAGGCATGAGAATATTCTTAATTCTTCCTAAACTTTTATATTTGAAATGTATTTAAATTTGTAATAATGAAGACAATATTTACAATATTTTATATTATCAAGCAGTGTTTACAAAAAATTAATTTTAATTTGACAGAAAAGTTACCAAAGAATTATTATCACTGCAATTTGATCAAAAGACAAAATAAAAATTTTAACATTCATTCTTTATTCTGATTTTGATACTTTCATAACAATGAACATAAAAATCAGTTTATACTGGAGTAGTGTCTATTTTTAGGCCTGGTTATAAAGCGAAGAAAATACTGAGATTGTTCGAGACAGAAGTCATATACTGAACACGAAGGAAGCTAACTGCACAGATGCTTGCATTGAAAACATTGCATTCAAACTAAAGACACGTCTCACAATTCGTATATCTGTAAGACTACTTTTAAAACCATGTTAAATTGTTCTAACACTAACTTTTAAACATGACGGCTGAAATGAACACATTTATGTATATCTAAATTACTTTGAAAAAGTAGTGTATTTCTTTTTGCTTTTAAAAGGTTTTTGTCAATCTTGTCATCCTAACATTTCATATATAAAATGTTCTTTTTACTCGGGTCATGCATTTACATCAATACACATGTTTTGGCAACTTTATTTTCCCCCATGAATGATTTTTATATACAAGACAATAAGATGTTCATCTCAGCCTTCTCAGATAAAAAGAAACTACAATTGTACAATACCTAGGAAATCACTAACCATACAAAGTATATAGTAATAATAATAAGGCAATTATACAGCACTGGGTTAATGTAAAAATTTACAAATCTACTCTAAAAGTAACAGGCTTTTTTTTTTATTACATAGTTTCAATAACAAGAAACAAGGGGGTGATAAACGAATACTGAAATAGCACTTAAAGTGAAGTAGTTGACACTGGTGGTAAAAAATAACAAATAAAAGAACGAGATTCATATAAGAGCTTTCAGGCAGACAATTATTACAGGAACCATTGGTCTTCTCCAATTTTCTTTACGAAAAGTTTATGAAAAAGAAAGTGGATTATCCCCAAAGTTATGTATGATTGTCTGTGATAAACAAAGAAACCGGCATAACAACACGATGACTGAGTCTAGTACAATTATCTTTATGTTTCTTAAGTTTTGATGGAAGTCAAAAACATTTAGAAAGTTAATGAAAATTTATAACTAATCCATTGCCAATGTAGAATAGTCATAGTTTGATATTTTTTTTTTAAAGATTCAAAACATTCTAAATAACATTGTAACATAAAAATCTATACATCAAATTGACAGCCATTTAATAATAACGATTCACAGAAATAAACAAAATGTCTTAATAAGTACCAAAAACCTATATTTATGTAATATTCAAACACCAATTATCAACATTTGTGAAATAATTCAAATAGATATGCGTAGAACCAACACCGTGCAAAACAAACCTGACAAAAGCGCACTCAGCAAGAATAGTTATGAGGAGGTTTCAACAACATTTGATTATTATATCTTTATACAGCTATCAAATACTCAATGCAGAAAAAAAAGAGAAATTTAACAAGTCTCATGCCAATATTTCTACTTTTTAATAAAATGAATATGATTTTATACTTAAAATTTCTTATGGAAAAAAAAATCAAAAATGGAGAAAATTGACTTCAAAATTTTCAACAAATGTTTTTCTTCTATAATATATGTTACAAAATTATACAAAAAATATTAATACAGCTCATGAAAAGACGTTATCAAAATCATCTGCGGAATGGTTTTTTCTCCCTATCTTCTACTCCTTATCTTAACTTTAGGATTTCATATTTTTGCAAGTGTTTGTGAATTGTTTATAACATCTTTAACGGGTACATTTCTTTCTAGAATTGAAAAAAAACAACAAGACACGACAGTGAGAAATTGTATTAGCCATGTCAACTTCCAAGTCCACCTTGCGTCCGCCAAGAAAAACTCACTTTCACATCACACGTTAAAATCCAAACACTGAAACATTAAAGAACAAAATGGCAACATTAAGGGATGACACATATAGAAAAACTTTTGTGTGTGTTGCATTAGCACAATGAGCCGATATTTGAATCTGTGTAAGTTGATGTTTTTATTGGTCCCTCACTTTCACTTCTATGTACAAGTCTCTTTGCTCCAAGTAACATTTACTGGTCTGGGCTGATGTCATCACCATCATCTGTTTTCAGTGCAGACTTGTTTTTTCTTACTTCTTCAATTTTCTTCTCCTGAAAAAAGGCAAAATATGAATAATTATAAACCCAGTATGGCTTAAAGATCACCCCGTAAGTAATGCAATAGAAAAATAAATTTAAAACAATGCTGTGAGTAAAATTTTAAACTGAAAATATAAAAAAGACCAAATTCTTTTAAAGAATATGACAAGCAACTTTCAGCAACCAATCTATAATGATTCCAGGCGGATTTGCTTGTTATTCTGTTATCACATGCAGAAAATTGATAACTTTGGCAGTCTTGGCAAAACTTTTTTGCTGCCAAAAAAAAACAAAAAAAAAACTAAGTTAAGTTCTAAGGCCAAGCTTAATGTGTTGTTTTTTACTGGCAACATGTAAAGGGGTACTCGATTTCTTTTTTGTAATTTCCCCCCCCAAAATACAAATATTTAGCACGTCATCAAATCCCACATTTCCCTTCCCCACTTGTTATAACAATGTAATCCATTTTGTTAATATAATTCCACTTGTTGACTTTGTTCATTTTGAAGCTGAAGCTCTCAGTTATGATAAAATTTGAAGAAATTTCAAACACTAATCAAATGAACAGTTTTGAAATATCCCAGATTTTTGACTATGGAAGGATGCATGTACAAAACAGGCTTCTCCAGGTCCATGGTAGATCCTTTTAACTGCGACTTATTTAGCTCTTACATGTTCACGGAGTCTGTTACGCTGCTCGGTGAGGTATTTCTCTCTGTTTTGAATTGCCTTCTGAACCTTTTCCAACACTTTCTCCTCTGAGAACTTGCTCTTCATCATATTCTCATTAGCTTTGATCACCTCCTCCACATGTTTCTCCTGCAAATTGCAGAAAAAAGCACACAAGACTAAATCACTACACAATAACAGCATGCTATAAACAGAACTGAATATATCCAACTAATAATGTATAGAATACAGCTTTGGTCATACCACATTGTCTCTTTACAAATATGTGCAAGCTTCTAAGTTTTTTTGGTTTTAAATGCTTGTGTTTAGATTTAAACTTCCCCTAAGAAACAATCATTCAGGTTATATTGATAACTTAGGGTACTAGAAGCAGTGACCATTATACCCAACTTGAGCTGCTTCAATGAATTATGCAGTACACACATTAGTCTAAGAGGCAAGCAAATGAGCTTCTTGTATTATTTTTATAACTGTTCTCATTTAAATATATATAACCACTTCTCGGAATTGCCTAATAAGTAAATTATCTTAAATTATTTTCATTTTGGGATAAAAAGATCACTAGCTAGCGTATGTTGTGATCCAAGTTGAAGTGTCAAATCATATATCAATGTTTAAAATAACAGTTCATATTTAAAACACACCTCCTTTACAGAACTTATTTAAGGAAATGGATTAAAATTTCGATTGCTTGATGTTAAGGAATTTGCATGCCGAAGGGTGCAAATATAAAGTGAATTCGATACCACTAAAACAAAGGTATAAACTGCAAAAACTTTGGAATATTTAACTATGATGGTTCCTTTCCGAGACATGACTGGAAAACATAGGACAACTTACAGTAAAGTTGAGTATTTCTTGAAGGCAAAGGTTTCATTTTGTAAAGAGAACAATATAGTATTTGACCAAATAAACTGGACTAAGATCTGAACTAAATAAAATAAGAGAGACTCAACCCATCAAAATCAGACAGAAATTTCTTATAAAATATAAAGGCAAAGATGCTGGAAGACTTTAAGTGTCCATTCTCTTGTGAAAAAAGATCTTCTCTGAATTTAAATCTATGTTCTATGTGGCTAGTCCTTCATCTATTGCATGTGTGTATAATGGTTGACGAATTACTTAAAATCCTACTGTCAAAATTTATGGATGATTTAAAGTTGACAATACTGGATTGGTTATAACTCACATGTTCCCTCAATCTTTGCACCATGCTTTCAATCTGCGAGTTTCTGTTTTCTGCCTTCTGTTCCAGTTTGTTTTTGATTCGTTCCTCAAGCTCCTTGGCCATCTCATCACTCTTTCTACACGTCTCTTCAACTTTCAACAGCTGGACAACAACAATGTCATGTTTAATGATACAAATAATGTAAATGGACACTAGTCTTCATAATAAAATTGTTACCTATAAACAAACTGAAAATCGATTGACAGAAGAAAAAATATTTAAATGTAATATAGATGGTTTAATTTTCTTAAGAGCTTTTTTTTTTGTTTTGTTTTGGCAGTTTGATAAGTCTTGATAATCATGCAAAGACCTGTTTACCCCTTCAAAGGCTTGTCAGTAGCCAGTGTTTTATCAGTAGCTTTTGACATCTATCTATACTGTACACCATTTACCAGTATTATGCTAACTTGAATTCTTTTTAATAAATTTGGACATAATGTCTACAGTAGACAATGGCAGGTTCAAATGGTAGATGAATTCCAAAAAGAATAGGGGGGATAATGACCTTTTTCCATGCATTAACAACTGCAGAAGCACAAGGATGCATTTAAAGTCCGAGCCCTCAGGGCAAGTTATTCCATATCGCATATAAGAAACCTTTGCTTGTTTAATGCCTCAAAGAGATAGTGCGATGTCATTTGACAGTTATGTTTTGATAATAGAACTAGGCGTCTTTGGCCGAGTGGCTAAGGTCGTTGACTTCAAACCACTTGCCCCTCACCACTGTGGGTTCAAATCCCTACAGGGACTTTGGATTCTTTCATGTGAGGAAGCTATCCAGCTAGCTTACGGAACGTCGGTGGTTCTACTCAGGTGCCCGTTCATGCCTGAAAAAATGCACTGAGGGGCACCTGAGGTCTTCCTCCGCCAGTAAAGCTGGAACGTTGCCAAATGACCTATACTGTGTCGGTGTGATGTAAAACCCAAGTAAAACACAAAAAAAAACAAAAAAAAACCCCAGGGACCACATTGCACTTAGCTGTTTTTATGCTAGAAATTGATGTGTACTGCTTGTACTTATGTTGTTAAGAGTCAATAGGTCTTTTAAAATAATTCTTGCCTGCATGTTTACATGAAAATCAAAATTACATGCCATACATACAATGCACAAAGTAAATAACCTTTTAAAGAAGACAGTAAACAAGGTCCTAGCAGACACATAGAGAACATCTATGTCTCTAGATAACATCTATGTCTCTGGTCCTAGTTAATGATATGAAGATAATGTTGAGCTTCTGGCCCTAAACCTTATTGGTTCCTTTTTTTCTTTCAAAAGAGTATTCCACAGATTATTTTAGTTTTTAACAGTTTATAAATGTCTAAGCATCACAGACGTCCAACTAACTAATGAAAAATACACTATTTTCAGTATCGATATGTAGTGTGTATTTCAGACATCAAATTGGCAGGAAATATGGACTATCTATTGGGGGGGTAAACAGGTCTGCAAGCATGTGTTTTGTGCAAAACTTGTGTTACTCTTTTTAAGAATGAATCTACCCAACCCCAAAAGAAAAAAATATTGGCCGTCATCACTGTTCCATTTTAGGGAATCATTTTTTAAGATGACATAAGTTTAATTGAACACAAGTTTTTTTTTTGTTTTTTTTTCATATTAAACAAGTCAATTCAATGCCAAGAAATAGATCTGAAAAAGGCTAGATAGTAGTATTGGGAGTTATGGTACAAGTAAAAGCACTTAAGAAAAAAAAATTCAACTGAAAGAAAACAAATAAGCAAATTCATAAAATTGCTGTGCATATAACTAAAATGCATTTTTCTCTCATCTTGCATTACATTTTGGATTCTCCTTTATGAATGGTCTGAAGCTTTTAAAATCTGCTTTTTACAGTTTACTGTTCAGTACAAGTTATATTCAAGTTGAGACTTACAATACTTAGCAACATCAAGCATTTCTTTTTTAAGGTTTTAAAACTACAAAGATACTTGAATGAAAAGCTAACTTTTGCCTTAAATCATTTTTTCCCCAATTAACTCAAGATACATAAATGCTAGATGTATAGACATTCTAAACTCAGTCACAGCCACTTTCCAGTAACAAAAACAAAATATTTTAACTAAATTCATTCTGTCTGACATTGCCAGATATTACATTGAACAGATCAAGGGAGGTAATTTGCCTATGAAATATAGAGAAAAATCTATAGTGCAGTGGTATGGATGTTGTCTATTCTGTAAATGAACAAAATAAATAAACATGCAACAATATAGATACAGCAAGGAAGCAGGGAGGGAACACAACACACCCATTTAAACAAGATATGTTTGTAAAACATGTATGCCCCCTATCAGCAGCCAATTAGTCATGTGATAAGGTTATTATGCATGACTTCTGACCCAGTGATCAAACAATTAATAAGGGTTATCAAGTATGTACTGGTCATGACCTTAACCTTTGACCCCTTGACCCAAAACTCAATAGGGGCCATCTGCTGGTCACGACCAATCATCATACAAAGTTTGAAGTTCCTAGGCATAAGCGTTTTTAGTTAATTGATCAGAAACCGTTTTTACCTACAAGGTCAATGTAACCTTGACCTTTGACCCCTTGACCCCAAAATCAATAGGTCATCTGCTGGTCATGACCAATCACCATACCAACTTTGAAGTTCCTAGGCCTAAGGGTTCTTTAGTTATTGATCGGAAACCGTTTTAACATACAAGGTCATTGTGACCTTGACCTTTGACCCCAAAATCAATAGGGGTCATCTGCTGCTCATGACCAATCACCATGCCAAGTTTGAAGTTCCTAGGCCGAAGCGTTCTTTAGTTATTGATCAGAAACCGTTTTTACTTACAATGTCAATGTGACCTTGACCTTTGACCCCTTGATCCCAAAATCAATAGGGGTAATCTGCTGGTCATGACAAATCACCATGCCAAGTTTGAAGTTCCTAGGCCGAAGCGTTCTTTAGTTATTGATCAGAAACTGTTTTTACTTACAATGTCAATGTGACCTTGACCTTTGACCCCTTGATCCCAAAATCAATAGGGGTAATCTGCTGGTCATGACAAATCACCATACCAAGTATGAAGTTCCTAGGCCTAAGCTTTCTTAAGTTATTGATCAGAAACCTTTTTACTTACAAGGTCAATGTGACCTTGACCTTTAACCCCTTGACCCAAAAATCAATAGGTCATCTGCTGGTCATGACCAATCATCATACAAAGTTTGAAGTTCCTAGGCCTAAGCGTTTTTAGTTAATTGATCGGAAACCGTTTTTACCTACAAGGTCAATGTGACCTTGACCTTTGACCCCTTGACCCCAAAATCAATAGGTCATCTGCTGGTCATGACCAATCACCATACCAAGTTTGAAGTTCCTAGGCCTAAGGGTTCTTAAGTTATTGATTGGACAGCATTTTTACCTACAAGGTCAATGTGACCTTGTCCTTTGACCCCTTAACCCCAATATCAATAGGGGTCATCTGCTGGTCATGACCAATCACCATACCAAGTTTGAAGTTCCTAGGCCTAAGGGTTCTTTAGTTATTGATCGGAAACCGTTTTACCTAAGAGGTCAATGTGACCTTGACCTTTGACCCCTTGACCCCAAAATCAATAGGTCATCTGCTGGTCATGACCAATCACCATACCAAGTTTGAAGTTCCTAGGCCTAAGGGTTCTTAAGTTATTGATTAGAAAGCATTTTTACCTACAAGGTCAATGTGACCTTGTCCTTTGACCCCTTAACCCCAATATCAATAGGGGTCATCTGCTGGTCATGACCAATCACCATACCAAGTTTGAAGTTCCTAGGCCTAAGGGTTCTTTAGTTATTGATCGGAAAAACGTTTTACCTAAGAGGTCAATGTGACCTTGACCTTTGACCCCTTGACCCCAAAATCAATAGGGGTCATCTACTGATCATGACCAATCACCATATCAAGTTTGAAGTCCCTAGGCCTAAGGGTTCTTTCGTTATTGATCGGAAACCGTTTTTACCTACAAGGTCAATGTGACCTTGACCTTTGACCCCTTAACCCCAAAATCAGTAGGGGTCATCTGCTGGTCATAACCAATCACCATACCAAGTTTGAAGTTCCTAGGTCTAAGGGTTCTTTTGTTATTGATCAGAAACCATTTTTACCCAAGAGGTAAATGTGACCTTGACCTTTGACCCCTTGACCCCAAAATCAATAGGGATTATCTACTGATCATGACCAATCACCATACCAAGTTTGAAGTTCCTAGGCCTTAAAGTTCTTTAGTTATTGATCGGAAACCGTTTTTGCTTACAAGGTCAATGTGACCTTGACCTTTGACCCCTTGACCCCAAAATCAATAGGGGTCATCTACTGATCATGACCAATCACCATACCAAGTTTGAAGTTCCTAGGCCTTAAGGTTCTTTAGTTATTGATCGGAAACCATTTTTGCTTACAAGGTCAATGTGACCTTGACCTTTGACCCCTTGACCCCAAAATCAATAGGGGTCATCTACTGATCATGACCAATCACCATACCAAGTTTGAAGTTCCTAGGCCTTAAGGTTCTTTAGTTATTGATCGGAAACCGTTTTTGCTTACAAGGTCAATGTGACCTTGACCTTTGACCCCTTGACCCCAAAATCAATAGGGGTCATCTACTGGTCATGACTAATCACCATACCAAGTTTGAAGTTCCTAGGCCTAAGGGTTCTTTAGTTATCACTCGGAAACCATTTGGTCTACGGACCGACGGACCGACGGACCGACAGACCGACGGACCGACAAGTGCAAAGCAATATACCCCCTTTTCTTCGAAATGGGGGCATAATTATTTAAATCTCATGCATTCACAGTATAAACAGAAATAGTTGGAGAGCAACAGCTTCACTTGAGACTTGAATTTTCCATCTATCAAGATTTAGTGCTCCTTAGAATTTGTTTAATTACTTACTATTCATGTTATTATCCATTTGAACTCTCTTTATCGGGCACAGAAAACTAATTAAATTTGTCAAAATATTACAAGACAAATAAATGATGGGAGAAATCGTTTTAGATACAAAAAAATGTAGCAACAGGTAGCCAATAGGATTTGAAAATGCAATGTTTGGTAACCTAGAGATGAACACACTAAGTGGATACTGTCAGATAATAATAATTTAATGAATACAGACTTCCCGAAATTTAAAAAAGTGTCAGACATTCAGTCTGACAAACCATGAAAATCTGTCAGACCGAAACGAAATCTGTCAGACCGAATGAAATAAATGAAAATCAAAGAAAAACTTGTGTTTATATTTCTAAGACACTTCGGTTTTAATTTTTTTGCCATAAAAATCATCACATTTCGTACAGCTCATTTTCACATCCTCCCTGTCATACACCAACGATTCACTGTCCTGCTTCCATTTTTCATTAAATTTTGTCTCAGGTCTATTCTTTTCATCCTTTTACTCCTGTTCTGTGAGCTCCTCTGACTTAGATTTTCGTTTTTTTCCCCAGGATTGGCACCTTAAACAATGCCATTTTGTATACATGCAACTTGGATAAAAGCCAGACAGTCGGACCAATCCGGAATAAAAGATCGTCGGACCTAATAAAAATTTATTGGACATGTCCGTCGGACCGACGTATTTCGGGAAGTCTGTGAATATTACAAAATTTTTTATAGAGTTTTATTCCATTTGAATTATATGCAAAATGCCAATTAATCAAATCTTCAGTCATTAATAGTCCTTACCCCAAAAAGTTGCAAATAAAAAGTAAAGTATTCATTTCTAGGTTTAAAGTATTTCTATTAAAAAAAATTGGGAAAGCCAGTAAGAAATGTGGTACAAAATAGTGTTTTATTCTAGTTCACTCTAAGCTTACATGATCACGAAGTCTTGTCTGAAGAGCCTGAATCTGAGCATCTCTGTTCTCCTTATTAACTTCCATTGATCTACGAAGTTTCTCCTGGGTAGCTCGTGCAAAACTCTCCTCTTCTTGTTTGGCCTTTTCAAGAGCTTCCTGTGCGCGTTCTTTCTGCTTCTGTAGAGGGGCCAACTTCTCTGCTTCCATTGACTAAAGTAAGAAAAATAGTATCTTACACACACAATTTCTATATTGAAAAATACATGATTTTATAGATTTTTTCAAATATCAGCATATTGTTGATGATAAAGTGCAACAGATGGGCTAAACTTTGTTTCTATACTCTCAAAGAAACCTCCAAACACACAAAGAGTTCCCAGTTATGGCTGACATAATAATAGCGGAGACATATAACTTACTCTATGAGGTAATAGTAAACTGATGATAAGAAGTAATATCTAATTAAGTATTTGGCCAAATTTTGAGGAAACATTTTGTATATGGTCAAATTTTTATCAATAGATTTGTAAACAAAATAAGCATGACTTAGAATAGAAGAAATCGTCATAGGTGATATCTATTTTGAGAGCCAAGTTAATAAATTCATACATTTTGTAATATTTCTTTAAGATAAGAGCATGGCATGTGGGCTAACTCTCCTCTGGAAAGGGCAAGCTCCATTAATCACCATTTTTCATAAATATTCTAAGTTAAAAAGAGGCACAACTCCAAAAATATAGCTTTCAGAATAATGCCCCTTGTCTTACAACTGCCTCTTGTCATGATAAACACAAGTTGCATTTCAATAGATTTAGTATTGTTTAAATAATGGTACATTAAAGTATTTGCACAATCATGACACAGAAATCATAATAGCCAGATTTCTTCTTCGAAACGGACAAGCTAAGAATCATTTATGATTAATTCTTCATGCAACATATTCTGGATAATCAAGAACAGAATGTACCTCACTTCTTAACGACTTAAACTAAATAAATAAACTTAGAATTTATGATGTTTTTTAAAATTCCTTCCTAAGGGTAACCTAAGGGTAAAGTCTTTAATAAACCATACCAGTCTTCTTTCCTCAGCTTCTTGTAGTTTACGAACTATATCGTCATGTGTGATGCCCTTGTCTTTCGGCGGTGATGACGGTCGGGGAACATCTCCAGAGGCAGGCTTAAGGATTACCTCATATGCAACACTACCAGCATTTGACTTCATGATTTCTGTTTCGAGAAAGGGGAGATTACTCAACATTAGTACTTGACTTATAATTTTCTTCAAATCTCCTCCTGAAATTATTCAGGGTCTGTATTCAACAAAGTGAAAGCGTTATTGATTTTGTTTAAATACAAGTAAATTGACATTGCACATTTTCATCTAGTTTCTCCTGTCTAGACATGTAAAAGCTTAAGTCTCAGGTACCAAGATTTAATTAGTCTGAAAGCAATGAATAGCTGTCAATGTATGTCCTTTAAAGGAAATTTTATCAGTTTAACAAGGTGGTTTATTGTTAATATTATAGACCTGTCTTAAAAAGAACCTTACATAACTCTTTGAAAAAAAAACAATTTCAAAAACTTAGTTTAAAGAAAATTATTACGATCTATATAAAAACAAAAATTGCATTTTTAAAGAAAAGAAAATCTTAGTTAAATGATGCAAGCATTTGTTTGCAGTACATGCAAAAAACAGGTAAGTTAAACAATACAATACAGAAAGGAAAGAAGTAAATTATATCATGAAAAAAAAAATGTTATAAAGCTTAAAATGAGAAAATCAAAAAACATATACAGCATAATAAAGCCATTTAGGAATCTCCCAAATTCTAGGTCTTCAGAAAATTATCTGTCTTTCAATCACCATCATCTATAATTAAAACTTTTTCAAATATTTTCTTGAACGTAATGCCAAAACTGTGCAGTAGGTAAAAATGGTAACAGTGATTATAAAACAGAGGGAACAAAGGATTTATACCAAAGTGCAACAGGAGAGGTAATAATATATATATATTATAATAACATGGATCAGTATTCGAACAGTATTTATCAATAGAAATTTCTATCAAAATAAAAATTTGTAAAAATTGATGATCAAGTTTGAGATATCATACAATGGTTACACCAACTGAACAACTGAAAACAAAAACTTGTCAATAGCTACACAAGCAAGTGTAACTGGGCCATTTTTTTACATTTAAAAATTTTCAAAAGGAAAAGGTGAATTGTTTTCATTTTAGTATTTGTTCACTTATCACAGAATACTCCCAAATGAGCAATACTTATAGAACAATTATTCTTTTTTTCAAATCTTATCTATCAATTTATTATAGTATTTTATTTTTTCTGTTTATAGGTAGACTGACTAAAAGATCTAAGTGAACAAAAACATGGGAAATTTAACTAAACATCAAACACATAAAAGCATAACAATGAAAGTTCGCCGCATTAAAAATTTCCATTCATAAACATAAATAATTTAAAGAAGTTGAATAATATATAAATACTATGTTATATTGGAAGCCTTTGAAACTAAATGAGTCATTCTTTAAGCATTTCAAAAATGCAGCCATTTTAACAAAGGTAGAAAACAATACATCACATCAATGTGCAGTTTCCAATATTCACTTGTCTCCCTTTTATAGAATTTTGAAGGATTATTTAAAGCCATGCTGTTTACCGTTTTACTAACCTGATCTGATAAACTCATTTTTCAATGCCAAAAATAAGGGGTCTTATTCCACAGGTTAAGAAAAACTTAACTTTGTTCTCCCTTCTGGTCTCCCTACAAGTAGGCGCCAAGATATTTCTGTACTTTGTTCATATCATCTAAATGATCTATAGTCTTAAATTCATTATACAAAGTTTAAAACAATAGTGACCAAAGGCCAATTCAGTTAAACAACTTTAAAATTTCCTGTAAAATTACCCTCATTTTCAAAGAATGGAATCCAAGTGTGCAAAAAATCCCTTGAAAATGCTGGTTATTTCAGACAATATTTCTATTACATTCAGCAACTAAAATACATACATTACAAAAAAGAAAGAAAAAACCATGGCAAAATGACAGAAAGAAAAGAATATACAATGTTCACATGTGATCATCACCTTTCCCTTTCCAAACAATAACAGCGTCAAAATGTCCAGGTCTCCCTGGATGAATCTGATGGTGTAGTTTTGTTTTGGGAGACCCCCGCATACATGAGAAAAAATTCAGCAAATTGCAAACTGTTCCAGAAGGCAAAAATATAAAGACAATATTCATATAAGAATAACAGATTATAAAGGTATGTTTAGCTCTGTTGGAAAAAAAGGAGTGAATAAAATTTGAGCATCAATAATTTAATTTCTAACAGTATAACATAGTTTGCAGAGCATTGAATTTTGGCTTTTTGTTACTTATGTGGCAAACCATTTGTATGTGTGGTACATTACTGCTTTTGCTTAAAATTGTTAAAATGATAATATAAGTATGCCCAATAATGATATACATGTTATCTAATTATAAATACTTGTCAAACTATGAACTTTAATTTGTAACCTACTTGAAAGCTAACTTAATTCTTTTATATTTTGATTGAACATGGAGTTTACTGCTTTCAAAAGCCTGATTGTCATATACCTAAATTTACCTAATGACCTCAAATTTAGAATTGCACAAAAGCAATTTCTTTTGAAATTGAAACCCTTTTGCATAAATTAACATATGGACTTTTAACCTCTGTCCAGTTAAGGCTCATCAATAAATATTTGATTCATTCCATATATTGTTAATTACATTTAAATTTTTTGCTTCTACTTATTATGTATCAATGGTTTTATGATACATAATTTACAACTACCCTATATTGAGTACTGCTGATGTACAGAATATTATGAATGTCAAAATATCAATGCCACTTTCCAGGACACTTGCTTTCTAAGTACAACTTGAGTGTTAAATATATGACTCACTGTTCACTATTCAGACAGTATAACAAATCGGGCATTGCAATTATTCCAAACCTTTAGAAGTTTCTGCAACAGAAACATGAAATTTATTTGTCTGGTTCACAATGTCCATGAATACACAAAAATCAATGCTACTGCAATGCATATTTAATCAAGCCATCCTCTAGTACTACTTACCATCATCTGATAGCATTCATGAAAACATTAACAAATATATTTTCTGTATGATTATGTCATTATTTTGTGTTGTAAAAATCACTAATTGCTACCCTGAAGCATCACTTAGAATACATGTAACTTGTGGTATACATCTAAATCATTTACCTACAGGTTCAATAAATTGTTTTTGGCATTAAATACGAGCCCAAACATGACATTTGATAAAGCAATAATAAAAAATTATATAAATTCAAAGTAATAACCCCTGCAGAGGTAAAATGACCATGTACATCCATATAGTTATCAAACTGTAAATGTTATATAAGGACATCTTCCAATTGTCAACCACATATTTTGAGATAATTTATCAAAAATCTTGTATGACCATACTGAAAATGAATAGTCAATTTACATAAGAAATCTAGAATGCACTTATAGTAATTTATTATTGAAATTAATGAAGCATAACATTCATAATTAACCCAATGTTATACTCCTGAACTTGAGGATTTATATCTATGAATAGAATCTGGACATCTATATCATATTTCTACATAGAAATCCTAAAAATTATCTCTTGTATTTTATTTTTTAAAATCTTGATTAAGTTGCAGTAAATGAGACACATTCATTTCTTTCTTTTTCAGACTTTTATTCCTGCATTCTCAACTATAGGTTTATCATATACTGAAAAAGTTGTTTTCACATAAATATTGATGTAACTGGTCCCAGCGGACAGAAAACAAATATTTTATGGTGAAAAGTTGAGTCATTTTTCCTGATTTGTATTTTTATCTCCAGACACAATGGTACCATTTAGTCATTAACGATAGATTACCTGTATTCTAGAACAATGTGAGTCTAGTCTTACAGTTGTATCAATAAATAGACGGAAGTTTAACATATATTATAAATCTTACCAACCATTAACTTAGGTGCTATTGCTTTAATTATCTTTTCCAGGAGCTAATTAAAATCTTAAAATAAAAAAAACTCACAGCTGTAAAGACAAATGTAATATTTTGTCCTATTACTTCAAAATACCAAGTTCTATAAAACATGATAACAATAGGAGAACAATTCCCATTTAAAGACTAAGAAAACAATTTATGTTTTAGTTAGAATTATGATTTTCAAAAAAGCTGTATATAAAAGGAAAAGTTTTGACTTAAAAAAACTTTGAAGAATCTATTGTTAAAACTCTGGGTCTTTTCAACAGATAGCCTCAAATGTGGGGAAAATAACATGTTATGTTTGCAAAAGGGGAAATTATACTTTATGTAAATTGAATTTTAGGCCAAAACTGGTTGAATTCAAAGACTTTTCCAGAGAGAAAGCCCCTGCTATGAAAAGAAGAAAATACAACCCTTGCTATAAAAAGAAAAGCCTTGAATTGAAAAATCGAAACATTCTCACATTGTAAATTTAATTATTTTTTTCTAATACTTTTACATAACCATAGTGACAAATATTCTTACAAAGTAATGTCATCAAGGACCATCCTCATTGACATAACCTCCAGTAATGCTAAATATACAAAATACCAAAAAATATATTACCAATGTACCATCCAATAACTCTAGTGAGGCTAATAACATGGAAATGTCATATTGCATTATCAATTTACAAACAATTAGACTAACGCTGTGCTGGCCAGTGTGTCACTCAGTGAACAAAGCCAATAGATTAACAATGGTTAGGAAACCAGTAGTGCATGTATATAGAACAGTGGCACCAGGCTTTTAAAATCAATAGTTAGCTATTATATTGGTAGCAAAATGGGAGGAAATTTATTCCAAAAGCATACCAACTGGAAGATAATTACTATTTTCAATTATTCTCTAGTATTTCACATCATAATTTATAAATTTCACATCACCTGCTGTTCAAATTCTGCTGAAAGCACATAAGTGAAGTTAATGAGTGGTCAGGATGGGAAATTCAATTTTATGCCAATTAATGTACGAATATAATAGTCTTAGAGCAATTCTTACTTGCAAAATTTGATGATCAAAATGATTGGTACATAAAGGATTAATATTTTTCCACCTTACAAACAGCTATTTCCGAAGCAATGAAAACATACCAGGAGAATGAAGGCTGACACAATATAATTGAATATTAGCAAGTCATTTAAAGAGTAGTAGCCCTCAACCTTCACAGTCAGGAAGAAATACACATGTATAAACTTATATTACTTTCAAAAGTAAATCAAATTGTTGCCAACAATTTAACAGATGAAGTTATCCTTCAAAGATCAGCCAAGCTTAACAATTTAACCTTTGTTGTAAAACATGTACTTAAATGAAGACTAAAATGGACATTTTTGCAACATTAAGCTTAAGATAAAGCCGAACAAATATGATAAATTTTGACTTCCCACAGTCATGCTTGCAACATTTGTGACTTTTAGGGTAATCTTTACTGTAATTCCAAGCACTATGTCACAATCTGACTAAAGGAAATAACGCTACAAAGGGACCAATTTAATAACTTATTAGAAAGTCAATGTCTATGAATATGATCAAGTAGGATTTATATTGGACAATGTAGACAATAGCTCTTCAAAATGTCTGATGACATTTAACAAATCAAAGTAACAAGAATGCTGAATCGGCAAAAATAATGATCCTCCCAAAATTAGCAACATTTATACTGTCACAGTATTTTTTTTTCTTATGAGAACTTTTAATTCACAAGTGCTAACAAGAGCACAGCTGACGGAGCATTATATGCCCGAAAAGTGTTGTTTTTTTTAGTAAGGATGAAGCATTTGTAAGACATGGGAATATTTCATATGAATATCATATTATGAATAATTGTGGAAAACGAAGTAGAGATAAAAGATACCATTCAGAATGCTCCTTCAAAAAGCAATCCTCCTTTATAGCTGAAGAACATTCATATATACATATTCAGTAGGGCTGGGGCGAGTATCCGAGTACTCGAATAATCACGAATCAAAGTGAAAAATCGAGTTTGAATATTCGTAAGCCCAAAGATCGTGTATCGCGATCTAATTTTTTTTTATATACATTCACTGTTTCTAACACTCTTAAAATCGAGAAAAATACGATTTGAGTATAAATTATGAAAATACCTAAATACAAGCTGCCGTACCATAATGCTGAGCTAGGAAGTAATTGATTTCATAAAACAAAACAAAAATACTCTTCCAAAGAATAAAAACATAAACCAAGTTTATATTTTATATGTTTAATGTTTAGTATCGTTGTTTGTTTTTAATCAACATGTTCTTATAACTAATACATGTACATGTTTTTATGGGTGTTTTGATAACAAAAGATTTGTGGTTCGATTTGTGAATCGTAAGTGCTGAATCGTGGTTCGGATCGGATCGTCACTTATCCAACGATCCACACCCCTAATATACAGTTGCTGTTTCCAAAGCACCACCATCAAGTTGTTATCTTGTAAGTAAAAATGCTATGACGGATGGACAAAAAGACGCCAGGGGTATAACATAATATAAGCAAATTTTTTAGGGTATATAATTAATGTACTTAATATAAATATGAAGTTTGTCTTTTTTGTTTTGTTTTGGGTTTTACGTCACATCGCGACCTGGAGGAAGACCTCAGGTGCCCTTCCGTGCATTATTTCAGGCACGAATGGGCACCTGAGTAGAACCACCGACGTTCCGTAAGCTAGCTGGATAGCTTCCTCACATGAAAGAATCCAAAGTCCCTGTCGGGATTCGAACCCACAGCGGTTAGGGGCAAGTGGTTTGAAGTCAACGACCTTAACCACTCGGCCACGGACGCCCCATGAAGTTTGTCAATTGTAAAACTGTTAACAATATTAAGGTCATTTGATATTGCATTTTGACCTTGTGACCCCAATATAGAATAGATATGGATCTTTTATTCAATATAGGTAATCATCCTATGAAGTTTGAACACTGTAAGCCAAATGGAACTTGTGTAATGCTCCAGAAACCACAATTTTCAGTGTTACGGTCATTGTGACCCTGACCTTTGACAAATGACCATAAAATCAATGCGGGTCATGTATTGGATATGGCTGTTTATCCAATAAAATTGTAGGTTGATTAATACTCAAGTTATTGAGCGAAAACTGTTTTCAGTTTTAAGGTAATAGTGAGCTTGACCTTTGACCTTGTGACCCAATTAATAGGGGTCTTCTACTCAATCATCTTATGAAGTTTGAACTCTGTGGGCCAAATGGAACTTAAGTTATGCTCCAGAAACCAAATTGCTAACGGACGGATGTTCGACCGAATAGGGATAAAGGGCCATTTCTATTCTTATTTTCTTTTGTTTAATAGAGGGTCATGGCCCCTTATTGATTCTATTGTTACAGAAATGAATTCTATTGTTCTCTTTTGTTCTGTTTTACAGTAGTGGCGGACAGACGGACGCCAGGGGGTATAACATAATATGTCCGAAATTCTTTCAGGCATATAAAAAGGTAATTGTGTAAGTTAAATACTTAAGCCCTTTCCAACTTGCAGTTAAATACTAATTTTTTCAGGTTTATGGACAAACAGAAGAGAAAAGCAAGTCCAGTTCAGTCAATTTAGGGGAACAAGTCATATCTATTTCAAAATGACATTCCTGAAAATACACAATTACGAATACAAAGTTGATTGAACACAGCAAAAATAGCATTGTACACTTTTTACTGTTCTATGTTCAATCTAAAATATGAAACAAGCATCACATTCATAGTTTATACTTATCTTGTATCAATCTACAACATTCTAAGATCAATCATAAGTCACTTTAAGAAAAATATTAGTTAAATATGTATTTACATAAGCTGTATCTAGTCAGGGCTTGAATTCTAGCAAATGCAGATTCTTTCAAACGTTATGCTTACAAAATCTAGATGCGATTTACAATTAATTATACATACATGAAAGAAAATAATAATGTTCATTTCTATTTATATACTGTACATCTAATCTTATATTCTTTGATAAATCAGTAACAGAAAACATTCTTGATTTAGCCAGTAATAATATATGACAACACAAAAACTTAAACCATGTGTTTTTATTTGTAAAAATCAAATTTAGTCTTATTTTATTTGTGCACATGGAAATATTTGTGAATGTACAATAAAATTACATTGGTAAATTACAACTTGTATCTTGTAAGTTTAATCTATATAAGCCCTGATACAGATTCAAAATTATAATATTTTTCAGAAATCAAACCAAGGTCTTTGACTTAAACATGATGGAAAATATAAAGCAGTTTAGCATCAAACCTGGGAAAATACTCATTTATAAAAATACATTTATTATATAATTATTCAAAACGCAATTTACCTTGAGACATATTTGTTAAATTTTCCAATATTTCTTCGGAGGCACAAACAAAAATCCCTAACTACTGCTCACTAGGACTTGACTTACACCACTCCAGCTACCTGCAATGAGAGAAAACAAACTTTTTAGTGAACATAATCATATTTCTTTAACACTTATAACTTATTTCTAATCTTATTGTTACTTTTTTCATACAATATCATAATTAAATAATCCAAAATACGTTTCAATCAAATGTTACACAATTTCACACCAAATATAACTTTGATCACATAGCAACATTCACTTACTGGAAAATCAAATCCATCAAAAGTAAATTTAGCCTACTGAAACTAATTTGTTTCCTTTTTGTAACAGTTTATTTCAGTATCACTTGTAAGTATGAAAAGATAGCACTGAACAAATAATAAAATTATGAAGATTATTGAACCAAAGGAATATCCAGTGCTGTTCTTACAACCAGATTCAAAACTGCTAGAGAAAAACGGGCAGCGTCAGTGATGACTCACATAGCCCGTCTACTTGCTGATGAGACCAAAGTATTGGAAACTTGTTGCTAATCTTTCTGCTGCATGCAGCTCTATTCCATGACATATAATGCTTTTTTTTTTAAACACTATGCACTTAAATTAAACACAATAAACATCAATATAGACATGTACTAAAGACCTAAGGTCACAAGGTAACAATGGTCAACTTTATCACAAGGTAACAATGGTCAACTTTATCACGAGGTAACAATGCCATTAAATTAATCAAATTATTTTCAATAATTTCAGGACAGTGTATATTAAATACATTTTACTACATAATCCAATGAGTTTTATGTAGCCGTGAAAACAGAAAAGTTGGGTGTTTTAATTTTAAGGGTGTAATGATACGCTCACCTCAGGATACGATATGTAACGCAGTACAGGGTATGATACTTATCATTATACAGATCGACTTAAAAAAATTGTCTGTAATCCATTTAAATTTTATATTTTCACACACATGTATTATGCAAATTAATCTAAAGTTGTGATGTAACAACATTATTGTTATTTCCACATTATTTCATAACAAACAAGTATTTATCAAATAAGTCATTTGCATTAAATGATGCAGCATGGCTTGAAATCAAGTGAATAAACTGGTCAACATGTTTTCTATTGACATTTTGATAGTTAAAGTAAAAAGTTAAAAGCTTTAATATTTTCTGAAAATATGATCATTAAAATATCTACAATAAATATCATTCAATACAGACATTCCGAGAAGTATTTTGACATTACAGTTTTTTTTACTAATTTAGATTTTTTATGAAAACTTGGTGATTTTAAAGAAAATTTCAATTGGGAAGATGCCTTTTATCAGAGTCTGTTATATAAGCAGGAAAATCACTGTCAGGTCCATCAGTCCGCCACTTTTTGGAATGTCTGTCAAGATATATACACAGGTAATAGAATTTGAAACATCACATTTCTATTGAAAATGCCATATATATATATGTAAGGTGATAGCTATTTTGGATGAATTGCTCATGTTTAATATTAAAGTTAAAATGTTCATCAGTTATAGATGACAAAATTTGCCAACTATGTGTCACATAAACTTTTTTACTTTACTCACTTATTACACATTTATAATGGAAATGATCATATCACTTACAAACAGTTAAATAAATCTGTTGACAGAACAGAACGGTATGGAAAATATCCAACAAAATAGCGTAGGCATAACTCTACACAACAAGTCGTCTATTGCAGTGTTTATGGATTCAACAATATGGGTTTTAATCGCAAAAGCGTCAAGATATCGTAAAATTTTTTATTCACAAATTTTACTGAGGTATTGGTTCTCTTTCAGGTATTGTAGGCTGTTTCTTCTAAATTTTTCTAGTTTTTGCTCCCAACATTTATTTAAGTCATTTAAATTCACACATTAACAAATAGAATAATAAAGCTTGACAGATACAACCGATTGTCGTGGATACCTATCTTACACAGTGTAAATTTTCTGTAACACAATTTACGTCATTCGTTCTATTTCCAATGTGTCTGCCTATCCTGTGTTTGAACCATTTAAAAAAAAAAAAAGTGAAATATTTTGTCTTCCGTTCAACTTTGAAGCATGATAATTTGGAACAGTTTGTATAAAAAACGGTTCTCTTTTTTTCAGGCAATGTAGGCCTTTTCTTCAGGGATGCCAACAGACAATTTGGAAAAAAGAGGTAAATTCATCGCGAGGGGTCATGGGGGCCGCGTAGGCCCCCCATGCAGGTCCAGGGCAGAGCCCTGGTGGGGGACCAGGGGGCGAAGCTCCTGGGTTTTCATCCTTTTCAGATAGTCTAAAATGCATTTCCTTTTAGTGCTTTATCAAATATTTTCATTAACTGATATTGTAAAAAATATCTTTCTTGCTAATCGGCCGACATTTTGTTTTGCTTTCTTCAACTACAAAAAGACGCTACGTTTGGTACGTTTGGTATATTTAATACTGTCATTCATTGGCTTACTATAATAGCGACAATAACTGAACATACCCAAAAAGCGGTACGGTCTAAATATTTACGGAACGGTCTAAACATTTACAATCGGCGGAAATATACGGTAGCAAACTCGGCGAAAGAGACCCCCATCCCTCAAATTTTCTCCTCGGATTTACATCGTTCTCAAAAGTGGTTTGAGAACCTTGAAATCCGCGAATTTCCGTGGAAAATTGGCATAAATAACATTTCAGTTGTGATTTACCGGTAAATTCAAATTGACTCGAGAAGCATGTCGATTTGCGATATGGGAAATTAGCTAGTTATGGAAAGACTTCGCATTTTCCGATTAACATCAAACTGTAACAAGAGGGCCATGATGGCCCTGAGGTCGCTCACCTGTAGATAGGCCCCCCCCCACCCCCGGGCCAATTTTTACCCAAAGGCTTTTATTTGTTTATTTGAACAGACTTGGTAGACACCCATAAAAAGATGTTTCATGCTAAACATCTAAGTTCTAGCTCATTGGGTTTTTTAAACGAAGATTTTTAAAGTTTTTACTATACACATATAGTTAAAAACAATGACACCCCTGGGGCAGGGCCAGTTTTGACCCCCGGGCTTTTATTTGAACAAACTTTGTAGATATTTACTTAAAAATGTTTCATGCTTAAAATATCTAAACTCTAGCTATTTGGGTTTTTTCAAAGAAGATTTTTAAGTTTTTGCTATACACATATAAGGAAAATCAATGACCCCCCCCCCCCCCGGGCGGGGCCAGTTTTGACCCCAGGGCTTTTATTTGAACATACTTGGTAGACACTCATTAGAACATGTTTCATGCTAAATATCTTAGCTCTAGCTCTTTGAGTTCTTTAAAAGAAGATTTTTTAAGTTTTTACTATATGCATATAGGGAAAATCAATGACCCCTGGGGCGGGGCCAATTTTGACCCCAGGGCTTTTATTTGAACAAACTTGGTAGACACTCATTAGAAGATGTATCATGCTAAATATCTTAGCTCTAGCTCTTTGGGTTCTTTAAAAGAAGATTTTTTAAGTTTTTACTATATGCATATAGGGAAAATCTATGACCCCCTGGGGCCGGGTCAATTTTGACCCCAGGGCTTTTATTTGAACGAACTTGGTAGACATTCACTAGAAGATGTTTCATGCCAAATATCTAAGCTCTAGCTCTTATGGTTCTTTAAAAGAAGATTTTTTAAGTTTTTACTATATGCATATAGGGAAAATCAATGACCCCCCGGGGTGGAGCCAATTTTGACCACAGGGCTTTAATTTGAACAAACTTGGTAGACACTTACTAGAAGATGTTTCATGCTTAATATCTTAGCTCTAGCTCTTTGGGTTCTTTAAAAGAAGATTTTTTAAGTTTTTACTATATGCATATAGGGAAAATCAATGACCCCCCGGGGCGGGGCCAATTTTGACCCCAGGGCTTTTATTTGAACAAACTTGGTAGACACTCACTAGAAGATGTTTCATGCCAAATATCTTAGCTCTAGCTCTTTCGGTTCTTTAAAAAAAGATTTTTTAAGTTTTTACTATATGCATATAGGGAAAATCAATGACCCCCTGGGGCGGGGCCAATTTTGACCCCAGGGCTTTTATTTGAACAAACTTGGTAGACACTCACTAGAAGATGTTTCATGCCAAATATCTAAGCTCTAGCTTTTAGGGTTGTTTAAAAGAAGATATTTAAAGATTTTTCTTTCGGTTGCCATGGCAACCAGAGTTCTGCATGGAATTAAATTCTTTGAACAATTTTTAAAGGTGACCACCAAAGGAACATTCCTGTGAAGTTTGGATGAAATTGGCTCAGTGGTTTATGAGGAGATGTCATTTAAAGCAAAAGTTTACGGACGGACGGACGGACGCCGGACGAAAAGCGATCACAAAAGCTCACCCTGTCACTTTGTGACAGGTGAGCTAAAAAAAAGAAAATGTGATGTCTTTCAATGAAGGACTAGACTAAATTCAGACTAGCTAAAGATACTTCAGCGAACAGGTTTTATAGTATTGCTAGACCTGTTCGCTGAAGCCAACCCCGTATCGAAAGTCAACCAGAACCGTGACATTTTTATGTCATGCTGTAATTCAATAAATTTGCGTGATCTGGACAAAAACTATTTCAATACAGGTAGTTAGATATATTTGGGACCCTTCAGTCTATATTTTTGAACACAGAATGTTAGATTGATGAAATATTGCCTCAAAGTTTATCAGCGGGTTCACATTTCATAAAATTCGCCGCCATTGCTGCCCTAATTATCACGTGATCAGCGAGAATTTAGGTTCGGATACCTTTGCATGACATTTGTTGACACGTGACCCAAATGCTATTTATAATTGAAAACATGGCTTTGCAATTATGAATAACGGTGTATTTATTCAATAACAGACATTGTACCAAAAACATGTTGAATTTATAGTTTTGAGTTATGATTCATGAATTATTTGTCCGTTTTTATATAATATCATACTCTTACTAAAAATAGTGTATGGTCCGTTACTAAAAATAGATGCTAGAATTTTCAAAACATGAAGTACCGCGAGATCTCATTTGAAAGCAGACTCCATATTAGTAAACATCCTCTACACATTTCTCTAAAAAATAGTTGGGTACACAATGTCATTGAAGTTTAATTAAAAACAAAACATGAATTGGTTCAAAATTGATTTGTTTATCAAATGGTATTTTTATTTGACCCAAATTTGATTAATAAGGGTGATTTTAGTAGGTTTTTATGTACGGCGCACGAACTCTCAAATTCTGGTAGCCTTTGCAAATAGGGTTGACCCATAACTTTACTGTCGCAACGTCAAAATAAAAGCGACATATAAAGTTATGGAAGCCAGAACTAAATTCAGACCTGTTCACTCCAATTAGTCTTTTATTAGATGGTAAGTGACTGGATAGCTCAATAGGTACAGTCGCAGAACTTTCAGGGTTTGAGTCCCGGTCAGGCTGCATTTTCCCACCCCACAGAAACTATGTTATCATTTAAAAGATTTTATTTTTTATAACATTTGTTTTGCAACTTCATACAATTTGTTCAAGAAAAACAAAAGAATTCCTGAAACTGCAAAAAAAACATTCAACAATTGAAAATATGCATGACAAGAGATAAATCATGTACCATAATGTAGTGAAAACACAGATATTTAAAAATATCCTACATATAACCCGACAATTTGCTTTGAATTACCTAAACATATATCTGTAAATTTTATGGTTTATTGTTTGCGTTGAAAGGCGCGCTACACGGCAGGATATGACGTAGGAGTAACTAGACATTTTGATTGGTTAAGAACTAAAGGCTTGATAACGGAAAGGATTGTTTTTCGCGGAAAAAAATTTTCTGTTCGCTACAGTGAAAGAAAAAAAAACTGGAAAAGAAAAAGTCTTCACAAACAGCCTAACGATGGTGAAAGGGTGCAATTTACAACTCAAGATCTCTATCATTTTCAACACTTCTTTTGAAAAAAAATAAAACCCAACAATCTTGTGTTTAAAGCCCAGATAAATACAACGACACATATAAAATTTTTTTTTTACTCAAATGTTTTTAAAACATATCATTTTCAATAAAACAACAAAGGATTGTTGTTTTAAAATTTTTCATCCATATACTATTAATATTAGGAAGTGGCTAGCCGTACGGGCCCGTACGGCTAGCCAAAAGTTCTAGCCGTACGTGAGTCACGTACGACTAGCCAGGACGCACTGTATTGGCTAGCTGTGACTCACGTACGGCTAGAACTTTTGGCTAGCCGTACGGGCCCGTACGGCTAGCCACTTCCTAAATATTAATAGTATATATGGATGAAATTTTGAAAAAAAAACAACTTTCCTTTGTGCAAACAAAAAATAATATAAAAATAAGTGGGCGTGGTCATGTACATGTATACTATCCAAGCCACGCACCGACTGCCTGTGTTAATATTAACAAAAACATAACAGACAAAAAATAATAGAAATAAATATAAATAAACAAACAAACCAAAACACGTCTTAGAAAATGCGCTTGATATATTATTCTTTCACCCATATATAATTCGGGATAGGATAGCCATTTAATCCACGATATATATACAATGTATAGGAAATGACCTTGGGTTATTAATAGGACCTTGAAAACTTCTGGGGAAAATGAATGAGAGTGATACTGTGTCCTCCATTAGGTTAAATTTTGTCTTCACTTATCATTTCATATATAACATCTAAATTAGTAATGAACTACGGGTTAAAGCTGCATTTTTGCAGAGACAAAATACTAGATTCTGACCACGTACCTATCGGATACAAATCGTTTTTAGCGTGGCTAACAAACATATCACATCACAAAGATTGAACTATATATTTATAGATGAAGGTTAGATCACGATCTTCATTTTCTACACCTTTTTTTCTTGGCCAATCTGAATAAAACCAAGAATCGGGTCCAAAAGCGGTCACAATATGTGAATTACATGTATTTCATACCAGGATACCCCTTACCTGACAAAAACACCTTAAATAAATATTGGTATTAATTGAATGAATATATTTGATGTTTGGTTTTAAAACATACAGGGGAATGCATCCTCTGAATTAATATGCTACTAATTAAATAAACATTCACAATAATATTGGAAACAATCACAAATGAAATTAACAAGAAGGGAAAACGCTCTCAAATCGGCCTAATTAAGAAGCTCAGCTTAGCATCCTTGATGATGTTCCGACCTGAATACTACATGAACTACATAATACCGGCATTTCCATCCTTTGCATATGTTGAACAGCACTTTGAATGAGGCCCGTCAATAAGAAAACGCTAAATTTATAAAGAAAACTACGCTTACAGGAGTAATACATCAAGGGGGTCATACCATATGCGCGCATCCTCAAAATTTTGATACCGCGAACACTTTTTCAACCGGTATTTTGAACAAAAACGAGTCTTGTAAAGCAATAAGAATAGATTTGAATTTAATTTCTTTTGCAAAGAAGACGCCATTACTTCTAGTTTTAATATTCCAAATGCCTTGACACAAGTCTTCCCTTTCTCGTCAGTATTTCACGTTGAATGCGATTTTGATTCTGGATACTGCGTACATCCGGCGTTGAAATGTTACAGAAATTGAGAAATTTTCGATTAAACTGAAAGTTTCACACAGCTGGAAGTTATTTTATTGTAGAAACTCTTTCAAAAATATATTTTCAATCTATGTTATCTTGTCTTTTTAAACGCCGGGTGTACGCAGTACTAGTATTAACTTATCTAGAATCAAACTCGCATTCAACGCGAAATATTGACGAGAAAGGGAAGACGTCTAAGTAAGGACATCTTCTTTGCAAAAGACATTAAATTCGAATCTATTCTGATTGCTTTACAAGACTCGTTTTTGTTCAAAAGTGTTCGCGGTATCAGAATTTTGAGGATGCGCGCGCATGGTATAACCCCCTTGTGTACCATGTAGTTAATCATAATGGAGCCTCATCTTAAACAAAATATTTCTATCAATTTCATATTTTTGTTGTAAATTATTCCCGCTTATTATAATTCAACACTGTTATATACTTGTATAACAGTATCAAATATACATATATACCCAATAAGAGGAGTATGAAAAGAAAATCATAATGCAATATTTTTCAGTAACGCAAGATTTTTTTATTGCAGCCGGTTATGAAATAATAAGCTGATATTAAACCATGTTCGTATACTTTCCCGTCAAACAAGATGTACATTTCATGATGTTAATATGTTCATATTTCGAAAAATTCATTATGTACCCAAAACGAATTAGTAACGATTCGCCACACTAACGATTCGCCACATAACGATTCGCCACAGAGTAATAACGATTCGCCACAGTTAAATAACGATTCGCCACAGTATGATTATAGATCAAACAATGATTTTTTTAGTTATCAACAAACTTTTTCCTTTTGTTTTAATAATTTGACAATGACAATAATTTAATAATGTTTCTTAATACAAGTAACATGAACTTAAAGCCCCCATCGCGGGTTTTCAATTTATCAAAGTAACATTATTACAGGAGTACATTTACAAGAAAGTAATTATATGTTGAAATAAATATTGAATTAATCATAAACATAATTATAAATGTCAATTAATATTTATATATATAAATTTCATATATTATATATATGTCAAATATTAAAAAAAAAAATATTGCAAAAACATGTGATCATTACGAAAATTGATTTACGATAATTGATTAAAGAACGCATATCTAAAACATTTGTCACACCTTTAATTTTAATAAGCCAATCACCTTTTAAAAGCTTGTTGTACAAATATTTAATTGACGCCGAAATAATCCTTTAATTATCTGACAATGTGAGCAGATTTCAAAACAATGCGGCAATTAAGCTTATTTATGTAAATTTTGTAATAAAATATGTTAGTTATATAAATAACTTATCTAAAATGTGTAATGTAATTTTGGTAATAAAATATATTTATTTTCATTTACTCAATTAAAGCTGTTTTCTTTTAATTTTCCAGTTTATATAAATAACGAAGTTTAACTTATCTACAATGTGTAATGTAATTTTGGTAATAAAATATTCATGTGTCTTTATTTAAAAAAAAAAGCTGTTTTCGTATAATTTTCCAGTTTATATAAATAACGAAGTTTTTCTCATCTACAATGTGTGATGTAATTTTGGTAATAAAATATAGTTATTTTCATTTGTTTTTATTCTATAAAAGTTGTTAGTATATTTTTCCAGTTAATATAAATAACGAAGTTATAAAATGTGTTATGTAATTTTGTTAATAAAATATTTGGTTTTCGTGTGTTTTTTATTCAATAAAAGCTGTATTCAGTGTAATTAATTTATGTAATTAACAAATGAAATATAAAATGGAAATTTTTTTTCCATCAACAATTTGAAAACAGGTGTGAAAATGTTTGTATTTGAACACGTGGCGAATCGTTATTTAACTGTGGCGAATCGTTATTACTCTGTGTCGAATCGTTATGTGGCGAATCGTTAGTGTGGCGAATCGTTACATTACCCCCAAAACCTACTGTATGCAGACCATGTACGGAAACCGGATGATGTAAATTTTAACAAACATCCCTAACGGTTGCCGATGTTACAAAGTCATTTTATAACCAAATGAAATGCAGGAAAGACGTCCCGTACATGGTCCTGTCCGACAGAGGGTCTGAATTCCAGTACAGGGATGAATCGACACGAGAACGAAATGCTTAGGACGTTTGGAATGATTCTACTTTTACATTGACACCGTGTAAAATATGCCGCCAAATATGAGACCGTTAAACATTTTTAAATTTTAGATAGCTCTTGCTTTTAAGCACTAATCAGATATCATTATGATCCTCTGATAATGCTTTTAAAGCTTTGAGTCACTGCTGTTTCACAAAATAGTTATGAAAACAATATCTGCACTAAAAATTTGATTTTATATGATTTGCAAAATAAGCATACGTTTGCATATAATTACTGTTTATTGTAATTTGTAAACTCAGGTAAATGTATTACTAGACTGTAGTTATAGCAACTTGTCTTGAAGAAATTTATTTTCCTTGTGGGGGCGTCCATAGAACAACCAGAGATGAAGATCTATGTCTCTGGTACATCTAAATAAGACTTGTCAAAGAGATGGGGTAATGTCTTTTTCCAACGGATTGACAGAAGAAAAACAATTTTACATTATTTAGTTGATGGAACTGTTCACACTTTATCAGGCAAGGGCGTCCATGTCCGAATGGTTAAACTCTACCCCTCACTGCTGAAGGTTGAAATGTGGGTTAATTCATGCGGTGGTTTAACTAGGGTACATGTCACCGTTTTGTGCCTGAAATAATCATAATGCACATGGGGGGGGGGGGGGGGCATCTGAGGTCTACCTGCACTAGAAAAGCAGCTGGACAATTACCATATAGCATGACATCTACTATCTTTGCACTGTGAAAACTCAACCAAAAAAAAGAAAAGAAAATTTTCCTTCCCCCCTTTTTCAAAACATGATACTAAACCATTAGACCCAGGAGTGTATGTAGTATTTGTAGTAGGTTATATTACTGTATAAAATATACTAAGGAGTCTCAGTCATGATTTTATTTTTCTGTAGAAAATAGGAAAATAGAAATCTGAGAAATAACCTCCTTTGAAGCAAGAACTACAAGTATGACAAGTTTGGGGACACTAATTATTTTAAAAGAAAAATATAAACTGCCAATTATTTTTTCTCTTTTGGAATTATCAAATATTTGCAAGTTGTAAATATCAGTATTCAAGATTGTTTGTCATAATGTGAATTTTAGAAACTATTTCCTAGCTGATCTCAATGACCCCTCATGAGACGTGTACTGGAAATCAGTCTAAAACTTACGGCATGTATGGTTCTCAGAGAGACCTTGCTGTAGACATCCTGATTGTCATTTTGGGCAGCCTCAAAGCTTAAAAACTAACTTTTATGTGATAATACCAAAATGACCACCTTAAATTCAAAACAAATTTAATAACAACACTGAGTGTCTGAGTCACAACTTAAAACAAATATTTCTTGAAAAACTTAATTGAGTGGCCTATATGGCCGAGTGGTTATCGTGACTAGTAATCTAATGATCGTTAGCAGCATGGGTTCAATCCCTGTAGGGGCAAGTCGTCGTTTCTTTGAGCAAAAAACTTTACACTCATTGTTCAATACTGATTGGTTCCAGGAACGGATTTGAAAGTGTGTCCATAAGCTTATTATTAAGGTTCCTTAAATAAATCTGTATAAATCAAACTTAGGTATTCCGTAATTTATTGAGCCTGAATCTAACAGAAATGGGTTCAGTTGCTTTTAATTGTTCTTAATTTATATATTTTGATGATTTTATTCTGTTTCTGGTATATATTTTCAGAAAAAATCTTTAACAACAAATATTCAAAGCAAACCATCTGATTATAGTCTGCATTGTTTGCTCTTTAGTTTATTTATCTTCAAATTTTTCCTAAAAATGATGAATGGGCTTTCATATTGAAAGATAGACAAGTCCAATTTAGATAATAAAGGTGGTAAACAGTAACATTTGATTGATGAGCTAAGCCGTGGTTATGTTCATGTAAGGATGTTAGTCATGTTTAGACAAATATAACAGATATTGTGGTGTACATTTATTTAAACAAATCTTCATATTTTATGATTTTATATTGGACAATCATATTCAAAGTATGAAACTTTACTTGATTTTCTGATCTGTGTAATGCAATACCACTTTACATTGCAGAATTAGCAAGTGATATACCTGTAAACATCGAATCATGCCATTACTTGATATACGAGGAGTTAATGTGAACTTCCCTTTTGACCCTTACCCATGTCAGGTTGACTACATGAACAAAGTCATCGAGTGCCTACAGAAGGTATGTTATGTTTCAAGTTTGTTCAATTGAATGCTCAATGCATGTACTTGTATGTGATAAATTAAATTGGAACATAGTTGAAGGGACACTTGAATGGTAAAATTTTGTGATATTTTCAAATGATGAAAAACTAAAAATTATCATGAAATTGAAAGTGCCATATATAAAGGTAATTATATATATTAAATAAATAGTTGTGTGCAGTTACAATGTGCAACTTCTCATATTAAACTGTAAGACATGGTATGAGGATATTTTTGATTTTGTGTGTAAATTATGAAGTGAAAATACTTTATATAGATTACTTACTATCTTAAAATCAAATTTACAAACCCTGTACATTATGTATATAGTATTCTCCAAATTTTCAAACCTAAACATTTGTTTTTCACATATTTACTGATATAATAAAGATAGTAATAAAGTTAAATGTATTGACTATTAATTAACCCTAAGCCTGCATGCGACCAACTTGTAAACCAAGATCAGTCTGCACATTAAAAAGTGATGAATGTTTTTGTCCGAACTGAAAGATGAACAAATGAAATCCATTGAAGATATTTAGCATTCAGTAAGGGTTAAACATACATGTATATGATAGATATTTTGTTGACGTTGTTTTATGGTATGACAGGATGTGAATGGTGTATTGGAAAGTCCGACAGGTACAGGTAAAACACTGTGTCTATTGTGTTCATCTCTGGCATGGCAGGAGAGTCGGAAAGCTCAAACAGAGCTTAATAAACAGGTATGATGCTCTATATAAATAGACTTAACTTGAATTATCTGTTAAACATTTTTATATCTCACTCCATTTTACCTTGATTTCAGAAAATCATTTAAAAGTTAATATTTCCCAAAAACTGTTATTAAAACAGTGTTTTTTAATGGCCAATATGAGGACAACAGTTTGTCAAATGACCTTTTGATTCTAGAGTTTGAATCCATGGATCTGCACATGATAAAATATTTGACTTACACAGAAGGTGTATACTTGTGCAGAAATCCTTAAGGTCTTTGTTATCAAATTAACCTTAAACAAATCACACTAAACTAATTGCCTAATTTTGCTGACAATACAGTTCTATTTTCTCTAGTGCAACAGTGTTTTTGACATATATTTGAGCCGCGTCACGACAAAACCAACATAATGCGTTTGCGACCAGCATGGATCCAGACCAGCCTGGGCATCCGCTCAGTCTGATCAGGTTCCATGCTGTTCGCTTACAAACCCTATAACAAGTAGGGAAACTGATAGCGAACAGCATGGATCCTGATCAGACTGCGCGGATGCGTCATGATGCGGCTCATTTGTACTTTAATAAGAGGATGGAATGGTTTACCAATATTGCTCTAAGATATAATAATATTTTAATCAGGTGAGTGTGTCCCACTTGTTGGGTTCTGGTGCTGACAACCTCTCTGCAAAGTCTATTGAGGGCATAGCTAAAAGTCTGGAAAACTCCACCGGAACATCATGGGGAGGTAGTGACTTTGGTGAGTATAACATTTAATTTTGCTTGTTGTTTAAAGGACACTGACACTATGTAGGTCATTTTGGGATTTCTAATGGTGGAGGAATGCCTCAAAAGTTTGTACAAGCAGTTTTTTCAGACACCAGCAATAATACCTGAATATAGTGTTACTTACTAGGTTACTTATTGGGTTATATTTTATAGGATAATACGTAGTTAAAGGTATTACAAAAGTATGCTTTGCCTATTGATAAAAGGCTCAAATTAAAAGAAACAAAATGATACAAGAGTTTAACCTGTATTGGTAGATTTACACTGGCAGTTCAAATGTTTTGAGCTAGATAAAGGTTTGTGAATGCTCATGATCATTTTATACATGTAAAGTAGGAGAGCAGATGATTTTTGTTTCAACTTAGTCGATTGTCTGTGATTTATTATCTTCAGCTGTACCAAAGATCATCTATGCATCACGTACACATTCACAGCTGTCACAAGTGATACAAGAGTTGAAAAGAACAGCTTATAACAGGTTAGTCAGAATACTAACCCTTACCCTGCCAAAGTTCTAAAATGGACTTGTCCAGCTTTCATTTTTCTGAACTATCCATTATCAGTTTTTGGGATATCAAGATGAAAATATAAAGTCAGTCACTCTGGCTTTAAACTTGAGGGCAAAAACATATCAAGTTTAGTTCCAGCAGTGTTAAGGTTAGTGCTGCCAAATTTAGACAAATTGTTATGACTATGGGGATCAAGGTTAAGGTCTTCCCTCCAGCAGACTGTCATGGTAGACATTATTATGTGATCTGTTCAAAGATGAAGGTAATACAGTACAATATTGTAATTGATGAACAATTTTTGCATCAAATATTGATGATATATCAATGCACGTATTATGTGGTTATCATACATGGTTGAGCACAAATGTTGTTATATTTTATAAGGTGTGAAATAAATTGAATTATCACATAAATACGGAACATCTGTAAATGAAAACAAGGCTATATATGGTGTGATATGGATTTGATATGGACGTTTTGGACTCTGGAAATGAAAACTAGACTAAACTGATAAGATTGAATTCAATAATGAATCCTGCATGAACATACTTCATGGCTTGGTGCGAATGCCATAAGGTGTGAAATGAATTGAATTATCAAATAAGCCATGGCACAGGAATGTAATAAAGCCATTTACTAAATCAATATTACACTAGTGTAATAACCATGTGATATGATGTCATTTGCATTATATACAAATGTAGTGTTAAAATGCACTAATGTAAGTGCTACACTTTAGGTGCATCAGTGAACAGTTCTTATTTGGAGATGTGATAAATATAATACTATATTTGTATAGATTCACCACTAAATTTATTGAACTCTTAACTAAACAATACTTTACTCACAAGATATTAGCATGATATGATTTTATTCAACTTGTTCAGCAAATTTAGTATTATATCTACACTCATTTCATATCCTCTATTTAAATAGCTACATGCAGTACAGTGAATATGTGATATAAACTATCATCATGATGTAAGACATGCTCGATATAGCCATCACAAATATAACATACTAGAACATATTTCTTTTTATATATAGTCAGTCACCTCAATTAAATTCAGGGTTCAAGCTAGCAGAGAAAAACAGGTGGCAATGACTTTTCCCTGACAAAATAGAGAAATATTTTACAAGAATGGGAGAAAGGTGTTTTGAATAATATTAATCTTTCTAAATTGCAACTGATCTTTAATTGAATGCTAAACTAAAGATCAATGATATATCAACGGTAGTCTTAATTGTAATCTGCACAAAATTTACCTCCTGACTGACAGAATATTCGATTCTGAAATCAGATTCTATATTTTGACTGACTGATTTTATTTTTATATACAGTAGACTCTCAATAAGTCAATATCGCTTTACTCAAAATTCTGCGTTAGTCGAAGAATTTCTAAGAAGAATTTCTAAAATCCTGTAAAATTTTCTTCTTATCTTTGTACTTTAACTCTGTATTAAATTTTAAATCAGATGTTTCTGTTCATTCATAATTGTAGTTAAAAGTGATTAACCATCATTTCAACAGTTAAATATTGCAGCATTGCCGCTATCGACAATAACAAACCTACTACTTAGGTCAATCAATCATGCACATGTATATACATGTACAAATGTAAACGTAATGGCGGCAGATGCACATTACTTGAAGTCTGTTTGTCTCGAAGTGAAACACCCAGTCTCTTGAAATTCAAGTTACCGAGAGTCAACTGTATTTACATTTGTAGAGTTGGTGTAACTGAGTTGTTTTTTGTTTTATTATTTTCAGTGTTAAAGTGAGTGTAATTGGGTCACGAGATCAGCTTTGTATTCATGAGCAGGTGAAAAAAGAACAAAACAACACAAACAAGGTACTTTGTTCTGCATGCCATTTGTGTAACATTCTATTCTATGATTATAAATACATGTATATAGATCTTGTATATTTGATAATTTCCTTTTTAGGCACTACTTTTTCTTGAAATAGCAGGAGTTTCCAAGAATGATGTTTTCTCAGAATGTCTTGGGGTTTGTTTGTTTTTTGTTAGACTATACTTCTGTTACTTTACATGTAACCAGTCAGGTAGGAAGAATGTGAAGAAGTGAAGTCAGCTGATGTTTTGATAAAGTATGATATTGCATGGACTAGAATTTTAAGTTTATTTCTGTTACATTTTATTCTTTGATATAAGAGTCATACATACATAAATAGAAATCATTAAAAACTTGTAGCTTTAATTGAACAAAGATAAATGAGACCAGAAATTTAGAAATAGAGGATTGATGTCATCATGAAAGCATGAATAGAAATAGCATTATGAATAGAAGACTAGGAAAAGAAACTTGTCTATTTTACTGAGAATGTTATGTAATGTATATACATTTATTGATTTTGCTGTAGAAGTTGCAGACAGTTCATTGCAGAATATCTTAATTGAATTGCACACATACAGAAATAGTTGTTTTTCATTCTGTAATATCAATACTGCTAGAACAATTGATGCTTTTATATCCCATGGCACATTTTATTTTCACAGCTTAACTTGGACAGAAATACTTAAGACAGATGTTTGCTAATTGCAAACTTCCTTTTCAGCTATAAATTGATGACTTTAAAACAGAATTAGCATTTGCTGCATTTATCCAATCTATGTTAAAAGTATGTTAAAAGTAATAGAACCAGCCCAGCCTAACTACAGCTGTTCTGTCTGACCAGGTTTTACATGGGTCCTTATGGCTACTCAGTTCTGATCATTTCAATAGTGAACTTATGTGATGTACAACTTTGATAGTTTGGACCAGTTTATTTCACAAATTAATCATGATTGATTGCTGCATCTCATATAAGTTTGTAAGTTTGGACTGTTTTTAAATATGTTTAACCACATGCCAATGTTTAACACCCTGTTCTTAATGAACTCAAAGGAGCCAAAACTCCAGAATCAATTGATAAGGTATATGAAAAGTTTACATAGGTTAAAGTTTTAAATGTTTTTTAGACAGATGAGTAGATAAAGATATTTTTTCCCACAGGAACTTTTGTTAATAATAATAATAATAATAATAATAAAGACTTTATTTAAAGAGGCAACATAGTTAGGCAAGCCCAGTCTTTCCTATGAGCCTCTATCAAAATGTATATATATACAGTTACAAACAGAAGATTTATATAAACAAAGAAAGAAAACTTAATTTATACAAATTATACAACATTGAAAAGTAGAGTTATTGAAAAATGCAATAAGAAAATGAATATAAACATTTCAAAGTATGAAATTGTACATTTTATGAGACATACATGTATGTACGTGATATTAAAAACAATCCCTAGATTATTTTCGCAGAGAACCACCATTTAAGATAATTAGTTTTGAATGTTTGTAAGTTGGAAGAATTTCTTATGTTTAAAGGGAGGGAGTTCCAAAATTTTGAGCCCGAGTATGATAGGGATTTTCTGCAGAATTCAATTCTTGGTTTGGGGACTAAAAGAAGTCTTTGTTCTTATGATCTTAATGATTTATTTTCTGTATTTGTAAAAAGATTTTGCATATAATCAGGGAGAAGATTGTTTAGGGACTTGCATAATAAAATGGCCATTTTATAATTCACTCTATCAGAGAATTTCATCCAGTTTAATTCAGAAAATAACTTATCAGTAGGCGCATCAAAATCTATATCCAATATTATTCTTGCTGCATATTTTTGAAATTTATACATGTCCTTTAAGAGTTACTTACTGCAATTACCCCAAATAGTGCAACAATAGTCTAAATGAGGAAGAATGTATGCATTAAAGAACATTTTTTCTAACTTGAAGATTTAGAAATGGTTTAATTCTCAGAAGTAGATATAGTTATTCAGCGTCATTTTGACATGTGTTCTCCAATTAAGTGTATGATCAACATGGACTCCTAAAAGTTTTTCTGTTTCTGAGAATTAAATGCTAAATGTTGAAATCACTAGAATTATTAATGATATTGTAAATATTTTGTGAAGGGGAAATAATCATTGCTTTGGTTCTTTTGGCAGTTGGAATCATTGAATTTCTGGTACACCATTGTTGAATAGAGTCAAGGTCAGACTGAAGATTTATACATATTGAATTGATAGCATGTCCAAATACTGTAATGGAAGTGACATCAGCAAACATATTTGAAATGGAATGTGATAAGTGCAAAGGCATGTCATTTATGTAAATAATGAAAGAAGAGGGCCTAAAACTGAGCCTTGAGGTACACCAGATGTAACATCTTGAGCATTAGAGTATTTTCCTGACACACATACTTAGAGCCGTTTCACATGAATAATTTGTGCGAAAGCCAGATTGATTTGGTTAAAAAAGAGAGTTAGCTTCAAGAAATGATTTTAGGTGATCACTTACATGTCTTTCTAGAATTTTTGACAGGACTGGTAGTATTGAAATTGGTCTGTAGTTCTTACTTCATTCTTGTTGCCCTTATGTATAGGTGTAACTTTTGCTTTTTTAAATATTGAAGGAAATATGCCATTTGATATACTGAGATTGAATATCTTTTCTTAGGGTTTGGAAATAATTTTAGAGCTCATTTTAAGAAATAAATGTCCTATACCATCAGGACCAGTTGATTTTTTGAAATTGAGAGGTTGAAGTTCTTTGCTTATGAATTGTTCAGTAATTTCTGATATTTTAAATGGAGAATCATTCTTTGAATGCATTTCAATAAACTCTTGCAGTTTTATTTCTTCTTCTTGTAATAAATTTGAACAATTGGCTGGAGCAGATTTAAAAATATCAATGAAATAGTTATTGAATACTTCAGCTGTTTTTAGTGGGTCTGTAATTTTATTTCCATCACCATCTTGAATATAACTTGTCTGGTGATTAGAAGATTTCCCTGATAATTGTTTGAGATTTTTCCACATTCTTTAGCATTGTTTTTATTGTTTTTGAGTAGTAACTTTTTTATAATTGAATTTGAAATTTTGCATGTGAAACAGATTGGAAAATGATCACTAATTGACAACTGAGAGATAGTAATTTCAGAAATATTATGAGGGAAATTTGTATAAAGGTGATCTATTATGGTCTTTGATGTTTTAGTTACTCTGGTGTGTTCTTCAACAACCTGCTTTAAGTTGAAACTGTTAGTAATATTATTATTCCAACAAGTGTTGTTAGTAGATGGTGCTCAATACTTTTGTAACAGAGTCCCCTAAAATAAATACTGAGTATTTTTAGGTGTCTTCTTTGTCATTGAGGTGTATTTCAATATGATTGTGGTAACTACCAGTATACACAGTTCTGCCTGGTTGTTCTATGTTTTCATATTTTGGTGCTGATTCTGATTGAGAGTTATAATATCATTTGGAGATGCTGCTTTCTTGTGTATATTCATCAAGGTGCAAATATTTTGTTTGATGGTAGTCATATCATCCATGATACCTTTTGAGCATTCACATCGTGTTTTATCCTTATCACTTTCAAGGCTTTTTATTGCAAATTTATTGATAATCAGCTTTTGTGTTTCTTCTGCCACTATACTATTTATTTTCTTAAGGTTGTCAATTTCCTCACTTTGCACCAAAAAAACCCCGTAATATCCTTACTTGGTATACCAAGGTAAAATGGCTTATCAAAAGCTAAGAATGTTGAAAACAAAAATTAAAAGCTGTTGCCATCAACACAGGTCCAGGTCATCATACTGCACATCTATGCATCCTAACCCTGGTCTTATGCCACTGGCTCACTCAGACTCAAGTTCAAATCTGTCACTTAAATAAGAAAGTGGACAAGTCCAAAAATGAAAGTTGGACTTGTCAATGTAAAAAATTTCATCAGGGTATTGGTTCTTGTTTTTTTGATGTAATAAAATAGCTGATGGAACACTTTCTCCTATTAGTTTAAATATCTTTTCTAGAAACTTGCTTTCAATTATAAGGTAATTTAAATCAAAATATTGATTGACATGTCAACTGTAAAAATTTAATACATCACTGATTTAAGTCCCTTGAACTTTTTGCATTTGTTGTTCTGAATCTTAAAAAAGCAATTTTCACATACACAGCAGAGCTGCATTGTTAACAGCCATCCTTGAGCTTCATTAAGATGATATAAGTTGACAAACTGTCACTTTTATCTTGATTTATCAACATTGTTAGCAATATACACTATTGGAGTTGTCTTGCATTGAATTTGGAACTATATTTTGTAAGTGTAAGGTATTTTAAGTTGAAAATACTAAAATAAGGCCACACACGATTCAGTCATTGGTAATGTGGCCTGGAACTATTTTAATGGCTCAGTTATATACAATACTTATTTTATCTTTAACATTTATTGTCGTATTTCACTAAATACAGTAGCTTTCTCAGAATACAATGGGTGACAAACTTTGGTCAGTCACTTTTGGTTCCAGCAAGTTCAAGGTTACAAATTAAATTACAAATATAGAATAACGTGTTTTTGATTTTTTCCCTCCATTTTCAAAAAATCATATTCCAAATTGCAGCCCAATAACATGTTTCAACTTCTGTGAGGAACTAAGCTGTGTTGTCTTGTTTATTTATATAAAAGTGATAGGCATACTGATCATATACATAAATCAAACTTAAAAGTAGTGTAGTTTCTTAACTTTAAATTTGTTCTAAATCACCAGAAATATTGAGTAATTTTTCACATTTTAAGCAAGGGTTTTTTATCAGAAGAGCTTGAATTTGCACTGACTTTATGAAAAAAGTGTCTTTTCATCAGGTTCAATTTTCTAGTTTTCTTGCTGTATGACTATAGTTTTAATTTGCTGCAACACCCAGCTCATTTGTTACCAGTATAATGGAAGACTGTTTTACGATGTATTACAATAAAAAGGACTTTGATCAAGTCATGGTAAGATGA